AAAATAATAATTTGAAGTGGTTGAATGGTGAAAAAGTGCGCAGGGTCCTGATATGCGCAGGGTCATGATAAACCACGTTATCGAAATTGCAAATAGCAAGAATATTCTGAGTCAAAATATCTTTTCTATTTCGATATAGAACTTTCTCTTATTCTAATAACGAAATAGAAATATAAGTTCTATTAATAGTTTCACTACAATCCTTGAAATATAGAAAATACTTCGTATTTTGGAATATCTTGAAATATAAAGATATAAAGATAATAAAAGATTATATGATAGATTAATAAAATGCAAAAGAAAGAAAATATTTTATAATTTTATAATAAACTTTATTAATAATTCAAATATTTCATTAAAATCATTTTGTAAGCTGGTACATTAAAAAAATTGATAATAATTATATAAAAGAATATACCAAATTGTTCTATAATAGATATATATTGAATATTTATTATACTTACTATCTTGATCAATTGATCTTCTAATAATAAAAACCTAGTTTGGGAAATCTCTAAATTATTTTTGATTTTTTCAGGATATTCAAAAACTAATTTATATATCCATTAAATATCAGATATTTTGAAGGTATATTATAAATGTTTATAAAAGTTATATTTATAATAAATAATGACTACAATTGCAAATAGTATTGAAATCATTATTAAAAGCTTTTTATTATGTTTTTTTCTCTTTTTCAATAATGGCAATATTATGATTGTAAGATTAAATCAAATTATTAGGTGATATTGGAGAATTAGAATGAATAAACTAGCGAAAGTATATATTCTTCAATTTTTATATTTTTCAAATATAGCTTTTTCAAATATGTTTTATTTATATAATACACTTATAAATATATAGATTCGTGTATATTCTTCAATTTGAGCCAAATAGATTTTTGAAAAATGTGTATTTTTATTTATATAATAAAGTATAAAAAATTATTTTGGTGGTACACTTTTACGTAGACTACTGAGCCAAACAGGCCCTAAGGTTTTCTAAAGTTTGGTTATATACCCTATCGTTTTAAAAAATGAAAGTTGCGTTTTCCCAGGTGTAATCTTACAAGAGCTGCCTCACCCAGCACTTTTTTTTTGAGCAGAGAGCAAAGGTGAAGTTCTGCCAGCGTTTACATCATCCTATGAATCTATTGATAGTTCCTCGGCTAGGAGGAGGTTGAAGAAGGTAAAGCGGGAAAACCGCACAATATGCGACCAGGGGTAACCTCACTACAATTCAAATACGAGTTTGGATATGCATTAAAATTAAAATAATGGTGTAATGTTGTAATTTGGATTTACTCAATCGCAGCTGCTTGATATGCTCACTAGTTTCCAGATCTGCTCATTCCATTTTGTCCTAACAAAATCTCAGGTCAGGCAAACCTTTGCAATGCAAGGCAGCGTATTATTTACGCGGCGAAAAGCCCTTTTGGACATTCTTAAAGAGGTAGCCAAAAAAACAGTAAAGAAAGCCATCGAGATTTACCGTCAGCAAAGAGGTTCAGAACTCTTCAATCTACAAAGGCCGATAGCTTGTCGAGCATAGACTGTTCAATGACCACATCCTTCATGACCTCGATGATCTCTTCAATCTGTCCATCATCAGATAAGCTCGAGTCTGAACTAGCCTTGGTAGCAAGAACAGGTGGAGGGAAACTGAGAGTCGACGAAGACTGTGTAGCAGCTGTAGCAGCCTCCAGGAACTCGGATTCTGTAGTAGTGACTGAACCTAAGTGCCTCATTTCCGACAGTGCCCTATTTTGGCCTTGCGAGCTTCCGGAAACATTATTTGGAAGCCTAGATGTATTGGTTGAGTTGTCAGATGATGTTTCAATGTTAGTCGACTCTCCTTCGTTTCCTGTCATTGAAAGACCAGGCATCAAGGCTGGTGCAAAATTTACAGGCTCGATGTCCGATTGAGCTTCATCCCACTGGAATTCATTGTCCGAAGCCTCATCCTGAAATAGGTCAAGAATTTCACCACGATGAATAATTACACCGTTTTCTTGCTTGACAAAATCTTCCTCTTGTCTAGACTGCTCCCTTGGACGTTTTGGCGCGGTGGTTTGAGGCTTGTTGATGCTGAAAGTATGGAAGCCTATCTCTTCAAAGTCGTCGATCGCTTCAATGCCTGTGGCAATTCTGCCCAATTCTTTTTCAAACAACCACGGGAAACTGATCAATGGCATTGCTTCCGGCTTCATCTGTCTCTTTGGTACTTCCATTCCGTTGACCATTCTTGTTGTACGACACTCGGCCAATGCAATATCAAGTTCCTCTTTTGTCACTTTATACATTGCAGCAACGAATGGCCCAAGGACTGAAAAGTCTTTGCCGCCAGCTTTCTCAATGCATACCAAACGAAATCGATCCTTGAGTGCACCGGTGATTGATGCCATCTCCTCCTGAAGTTTGTAGTCGCTTCCGACCCGGGGTTTTGAAAGGATGAAAGTGGACCACACTTCAAATTCGGTTCTGATCTCTTGTTGGGCCAAGATGCGGCGCATGGCAATATCATATTTGCTCTTCGCCTGACGAGCAGCCTTCAAAATAGCATCGTCTAGCTGATAGGCTCTCAAAATTCGTTTATCGAAGGGTTCTTCGTATTGTGGGACAAATTGAACGCTTTCAACTTTATCATATAATTGACCAAGAATCTTCGAGGAGTGATACTGCTGTGACTTAGGCTTGTGAACCTTCTCCATAAAATGTGGCCATTTATTAGGTTTCAAACACTTCGGCATGTTAGCTGGTTGACCAGTCTTAACATAGTCGACAGCTTTAGAATGCAATTCCGCGAGCTCGAGACCTGAGTTTGGAATTAGCATCAGAGCAACATGTCAAAATTACGAGGATTACTTACACTTGGGATCCTTAATACCTAGGTCCAGAAGATCAGCTTGTGCTAGATGAGCATGGGCTATGGTCGGCAAGGAGTCGTTCTTCATGTATTTTACGAAGAACTTCATCAAATCTCGTACCTCAACAGGTCGTTTGAGTGCTACAGGCTCTAAAGCTGCATAACTCATTGGTTCGCAATTCCATTCGGATGGCTGAAGATCTTTATCCCATATGACAAAAAAATCATCACCATCCAAGTCGCCACCGGAGCACATGCTAGGCACATCTCTTTCGCCACTTTGAGGGAATACGACGACGTCTCGCAAGTGGTGTAAAGCTGGTATGTTGACCGCTTGGACAACTCTAAGATCGCCGGGATGGAGAGATGGATTTCGCCCGACAAGGCAGATTCCCTCAATGACGTTGTATTGAGTTGTATTCTCCCTGTCAGGGACTTGGATGAAGATTTGAGGTAATTCGTCTTCTTTGTAAGTCGTACCACATGCCACAGTTGGTTTGGTATAGCCCCTGAGTGTGTCGGTCTCATCAACACAACCAAGCACAAATGCTCCATTCTCCACGATAATCTTCGCCTTCTCCTTGAGGAGTTTGATAGACCATGCTCTCCACAGATGAAGCAAAGACAGAACGAATGGCTCTTTTTCCGTCATGAAACCATTTAAAATCATACTTGCGATGTTAATGGTCATATGATTATCATCAATATACCTGTTGAGAAGATTGAGTGCAATCGTATTGTTGCTCATGGCATTCTGGTAGTCGGAGAGCTGCCTAGAGAGCATCTCTAAAAACACCTCATCTTTGACACCGAGAGACGAGAGGATCGTAATAGTTTGGCGATTAAGAGTTGCAGAGGAGAATTGCGAACACCTAATAATTTCAAGACCATTGTATACCGCCGTGAACTTTTGCTGACTCTTGCGGATGTGGACTTCCTTATCCTTCGCATCAGGAGAAACCACCAGTATTCCTTTGCAGCCACCTAGTCTAAACTGAAATGCGGATGGTGCTGAATTGGTGCGGAGTTTTAGTTCCGCAGCGATCATCTGAGCTAGGAAAGGTGAGATTTTGCCAACCCCATCAGTAAAACAGTACCCGTTGATTTCAATGTCAGGGATCTTGACAAGATCGGGCGCCGAAAGACCTTTGATGGCTCTAGTTGTCGAAAAACACTGGCCGAGCCTTGCAGCATACTTTGCAACGACATTAATGTGAGAAAAGCTTCCCATCCATTGACGAATGTCGTTGCAGGATAAATAAGCTGGCGGGCAGAAAAAATATGCTCCGTTCTCTCGAAATTGGGAGTTTCCAAAAGCCAAAAACTCGTAGTGCCTATCACCAATACGGATACCATTGCTGATTGCTCTGAACACTCTTGTGAATATTCCATCATTACGAATCTTATCGGCACATGCATTGATTCGGCCCTAAATCTGTTAGTAAAGAGAGCGAACACTGGCGCGAGCTATTGGGGGAACAAACCTCAAATTTCTCATCAGTGAACTGAACACGCAAAAAGCGACCCTCTTTGTTCTCTTTCGAGTAATGTCGTAAGACCCTGTTGGTAGTTTCAACGGTGGGTGAGCTGAAGTAAATCGAGCTAGGTGTTATCGTAGCCTTCCGTGAAAATGCGCAATAATGAGGAATATCAGTCATCGAAGAGAATGATAAAGCTTCATTATTAGTAAAGATAGACGCCGGATTGTACAGACGTTTAGCACTATAGCTCTCCGCGACAAACTCTAGTAAATTTCTTGCCTTAGCTGGATCCTGCGCAGCTAATTTGGCCAAAGATCTTGTGAACTTTTCATCGATATTGTATTCGTTGATGATTAGCTGTGAAATGCATACCTCAAGTTGATATCTTACTTCGAATGGTAAGCGTATCGTTACCCTATCAGGTTCAAGAAAGAGAAGATCTGCTGTTGCACTTCTGGTCTCACAAGGATCTATCAAAGGCCACAGCTCAGCTTTCCGACTTGTTTCAAGGCGGAAGTGATCTAGAGTGATGATTTCGATGTTGAAATCTTGAAGAGCTGATTTCACTTTGCGAAATAAATCTGGTGGACACTGGTCATCGTTGAAAAGCCAGCGGTAAGTAGTCCAGCGACCTATGTAAGTTAGTGCTATGTATAATACCAAATTGGTTAGGTATAGAATTACCAATATCAATTACTGGTCTCTCCTTGTGTAAAGCAATTGGAGCATCAACCAACGTAAATGGGTCATATACAATATCGGTTTGCCGGAACCAGCTATCCCACTCGGTCCACGATAGTGCTCCTTGCTGAGTTACTGACCGATCACCACGCCAGCGATAGAATTGGGGTGGGCTGTTTAAAGTCACCAAAAGTGACAAAGTTCGACCACCCGCATCAACACGCTGGATTGATTTCAGCTGATCAAAAGGTATGTTGAACATATATCTCTCACGTCGATCATAGTCTCCGAGATTCCCAGTACATGGGAAATCTTTGTCCCCTTGACTTCGTGGGTCTATGAAATGCACTGTAAAGTGGGCTTCGAGTTTTCTACGCTTCAAATCCACGGTGAGTGTGAGGTTACTTTGGTCCTGAGTTCGTAGAGTTTGCATGGGCATCATGCATTCTGGCTGTAACATGACTCCAAACTGAAGTGTAGAAGAATCGAGTTTCATCTTTTCAGGGTAGAACACATTTTTTCTAAAAGGACTTGGAACTGCTCTTTCTCTTCTTGAGTTTTGATCAAGACGGAGATGAACATTGTAAGTAGTGCTGTTGTCTTCACAGGTAATTGGGAATGGCTGACCCCAGAAAGGAATCGGAGGAGGAGAAAATCGCACTTTTCCCCTATTTCTCCGGTCTTCAAAAATCTCAATGTGCCTGATGGTACCTCGACTTTCGAAGTTCCTGATCAAGTCGTATATCGTGGTACCAGGCTGTATGTTTTCAATGAACAATGCGAGTTCTCCCGACTCCTTATTGTCTGGTTTAAGCTGAATGGCTGGAACTCTCGGCGCCATTGTTGAGGTTCTAAGATGAGCTCAGATGTGCAATACGGAATGGGCAGATTGGAATCGCGCTTTGAAGATGAGGTGAGAGTCTAAGCGCAATGTTAGCTGTAATGTTTGCCGGCACTCCTTGCCTTGAGAGATCAAGACTAGATACTTACAGCGCCTTGCCTTGGTATCAGCTGTATAGATTCTCTTTTGGGTAGAAGGGGCCGAATTGAGTGGTAAATAGAGAAGAAGGGATTTCGATTTGATGAAGAAATAACAGATTCGAAAAGTGAGAGAAATGATCTAAAGAATTGGGATCTCAAAATAAATGAGTTTTATGTTACTTGTTAATTTGCCGATATATTGGAAGATCTGAGATACCAGACGAACCAGTGTTGCAAACGGAGTTACTGATTCCTGGTTGAAAGTGGAAAAGTGGTTGAAGAAGCAAAATGGAGGAGGAAGGATTGTAAAAGATAGAAAAGAGAGGTGGAGAAGAAAAAAAAATCAAAAGATTAGGTAGAATATGATTGAAGTAAAGTGAATTATCAACAAACGAGTAGCTTGAGGAAGACAGAAAGAACGAAAATAATGAGGGGAAGAGAAGAGAAGAGAATGTTTCCACATTGGTTTGGTATCCTGCAAAGCTTCTTGATTCGTCTTGTTTGTCTTTAATCCAATACCTAGAGAGCAAAAAGCAAATAAGATGAAGGAGTGAGTATGTTCTTCAAGAATTGAGTTGCTCAAGCTTTCATAAGAGGGTTGGTTGTTAAGGTAAGGAAGGATTGGAATAAGGATTGAATCTGGCATTAATTAAGTCACTTCAATGAAATTGTGTCCATATACATACTCATAATTCATCTGAATATGCTTGGTTATTCATGTACTGTGCCCATCAAATCTCCATATATTGAAGGTTATCTTTTTCTCTTCTCTTCTGCCTCTTCTGCCCTTCTATAGAGCGCGGCTATTATAAAAATTAGAGTAAAACACGTATCAATCGCAACAACTGCGGTAATAAATAAAGTTCGCGGAATCCCGTGATCAATACACCAGAAGGCGGGTTGACAAGAGCCGTGGATGCCTTATCATTCATGGCAATTATCTATGGTATGTATTCAGGCATCAATTGTCGACACTCGCTTAACATTCTAGCGCACGATAATCAATTTTACAAAAAGTTCCTTCCCATTTCAATTTTGGGTTTTGAGCCAACGACAACTTCGACGACAATAACCACCCCAATACTTGTTTCTCCATACTTACTGAGACGCAACCATGGGTAGAGGACCGTAAGTATTCTTGTTCGTTTTATGTCACAATCAATCATCATTTTCTTGACCTCGAGGGAATTCCCATTCCACCTGGATTTTCAATCAAATTGTCCTTGTGGTGTTTTGGGCGTTGGAATTCATATGGGGGGTTTTTTTGGCTGTCATTGGTAGTGATGACTTGATTGATTTATTCATCTGGTCATGTTCTACTTGAGCTTCGCATCTACCTTCAAACCTGCACATTTTGATAGCATTTACTGATTTTTTTGTCGCATACAGAAAGAAGCACCAAAAGCGCTTGAGCGCGCCAAACCATTGGCTCTTGGACAAATTGTCCGGTGCCTATGCTCCCCGTCCTTCCGCCGGTCCACATAAGCTTAGAGACTGCATGCCGCTTATCGTCTTCATCCGCAACCGTCTCAAGTATGCCCTCAACTCTCGCGAGGTTAAGGCCATCGTCATGCAACGTTTGATCAAGGTCGACGGCAAGGTCCGCACCGACGCTACATACCCAGCAGGCTTCATGGATGTTATTGGCATCGAGAAGACCAGCGAGAACTTCCGTTTGGTTTACGACACCAAGGGACGTTTCACCGTTCACCGTATCCAAGCTGAGGAGGCAGAATACAAGCTCGGAAAAGTCAAGAGAGTGCAGTTGGGCAAGGGCGGTATCCCATTCTTGGTCACGCACGATGCTAGAACGTAAGTTCTGTCAGACATCATTCAGCCGTTGGTCCAAGCTTTGGTCGATCCCCTCCGATACATATTCAGCTAGATCAACGGTTTGAATAGTTATTCCCCCCCAGAAATGCTAACAAATCTTCAGTATCCGTTACCCAGATCCATCCATCAAGGTCAACGACACTGTCAAGATTGATCTTGCTACCGGAAAAATCACCGACTTCATCAAGTTCGACACTGGTGTCATTGCCATGGCTACTGGAGGTCGTAACATGGGTCGTGTCGGTGTCATCACCCACCGTGAACGTCACGACGGAGGTTTCAACATTGTCCACATCAAGGATGCCATAGACAACTCTTTCGCTACCCGTGAGAGCAATGTTTTCGTTATCGGATCTGAGAAGCCATGGATCTCTTTGCCAAAGGGTAAGGGTGTTAAGCTCACCATTGCCGAGGAGAGAGACCGTAGACGTGCTCATGCCATTGCTGGCAACTAAATGTACGTTTTGCTTTGTATTTGGGCCAGGGGGAGTCATGGAATGGGATATCAAAATGACCTTTTTGCAATAAGCAAGGGTTTACTGAGAAATACGACACATAGCTTGAGTCAATCTTTACCACAATGATTATCCTCCCCAAACCCACCTGCAAATGGACGGTTTGATTGATGACAGTGATTTGATATATGCATGTGAACCGCTGATGATATAAATCTCACCAACTTCGGCTTCATATCTTCGGTCGTGAATATGACGGCAACCCCAAATCCATATCCGCGCAAAGATATTGATTGGAATAAGGCTGTGAAGGCTTTACATTATTGAATAGCATATTTCCTGTCACGGGTATCACGATTCCTTGATGATTACGTGTACTTGAGTACTTGAGTAGAAGAATTGATATTTAACACTAAGCGCACTCACTTCAGCGTATTTTCCAATCCATGCATTATTTATATATATTATACATCACATATCAATCACATGGCATCAGCAGGAAGCAGGAAGCCGATATGCATTATATTATTAGGTAAGAAGTATGAGAAAGGAGATATGATTATAGCTCTTGTGCTTGATGTCTTCTAAGAAAGAGGCCAAGTGCTTGGATCAATTGGGATACCGTACCTAGGTATATTACATTGTGATATGTATCAATCAATGTATTTGATATATAATATATAATGTATACCTAGGTAGGTAATGTACCTGAGCTGTCAAAAATAATCTAGTATCTCTACTTGTAGATAAATTCTTTCAGACGTGGGGTAACACGATGTGGGGGTGTGTGGTGTGGGGGGTAAGGCCCGGGAAGAGGCAGAGTGAGAGACGGGGGGGTCGCACAAATCAGTCAGGTGGTAGTGATGATGATGTTGATAGGTGGTGATGGCGGTGGTGAATGGATTCAATCATATTTGATATTTGATATATATTATATGTTAAGGTAACAAAGAGGATGAGTGCATATTTAGTGTATACAGATAGCTTAGCTTGGTATTGTACTCACTTAACTAGTAGGTATTACTCGAGTAGTACTAGTTAGCTGGAGGTAGAAAGGTTGTTGAAAACTGGTTCAAAGACTGAGTGATGGAGTTGAGCAAGAAGGTAGATCCAATTGACCTTTAATATAAAATGCAGTGTAATGATCAATAATACCATAGGTACTCATAAGTATACTTATATTCATACTCATCCTCATCCGATCCACAAGCACTACCGGGTCACACTAACAGAACAGAGAGAAAGAAGGACGGGAACGCTATTTATCTAATTGATGACCTCTTCTAGATCCACTCTTCTCACTCAGTAGTTTTGAGATCCTCTATAGATAGATAGGGTAGGTAGGTATATGATATACTCGATTATGTGATGGATGCGGTGAACTCTTCTACTCATTCTACTTTTCTATTCTTCTGACATTGAAATGATTTGAATTAACTCATTCTTTCATTCATCAACTACCTACTTACTTGACCACTTTACAACTTATTGACCTAATCACTTAATCACTTAACCATCTAAATACATTCTCCGAATGTACAATCGTGGAAATATCCAACAAACCCCCTTGTTCACAAGAAAGATCATCCATCCCACCTTTGAACCATGTTTTCCGTGAGATATCAACCAATTGTCTCAAGGAAATCTCTACCAACGTTTCTTATTTCTAGAATACCTCCAATAAGAAATTCCTTTTCAAACTCGAATACAATCTCAAATACAACTTCACCAAAACCAGGTCCAGTTCTAAAAGCTCTCAAATTCGAATCCAAACAGACAGGATGGTCAACAGGTCGAGCACTTTTACTGGCGGCTGCCACCGGTGGCTTAGCTTATGCAGTTGCGATTACTGGGGAAGAGAATAAGCGGAATGCGAATAGGGATTATTCCGATCCAGCCAAGTACACAATACCTAATTATGCTAATTTTAAGGATATGGAAACTGTAAGTTGATCAAATCATGGAATTGCTGTATTGACGATAGGTATTGTAGGATCAAAAACTGATGCAAATGTAGGCCCTAAAGGAGATTCGGCAAGCTACACATGAGGATACTATCTCTACCGATCCGGAGGATTTGTTGGCTCATGGATAGTAAGTTTAAGGTATTTTATAACTTCAAATTTCCTGGCTCGTAGAACCATAGAAGTTCTTCCCAATGAAATATATCGAACTGACAAGATATCCAAACTGACTTGAATCTTCAGTTCTGAATGGTCGTCAACTAATGCTGATGGGCTCCCAGTGGCAGTAGCTTATCCAAAATCCACGCAAGAGGTCTCCAAAATTGCTACGATATGTCACAAGTATCGTGTACCAATCATTCCCTACTCAGGGGGTTCAAGTCTGGAAGGGAACGTATCATGTCCTTATGGAGGTGTCAGTGTGGATTTTGCATACATGGATCAAATTGTCGAGTTTCATGAAGAGGATATGGATATCGTTGTTCAGCCATCTGTTTCTGTAAGGAGCCTGAAAACAATATGGAGCCACTCATCTACCTTCTTGATTCAATACGGTTCTAACATTATATTCTAGTGGATGGATCTCAACGAAGAACTCGCAAAACGCCAATCTGGACTCTTTTTCCCGGTCGATCCGGGTCCAAGTGCCAAAATAGGAGGCATGGTTGGAACAAACTGCTCCGGAACCAACTGTGTTCGTTATGGATCTATGAAGGATTGGGTCATAAATCTAACCGTCGTCCTCTCCGACGGGACCATCATCAAGACTAAACGACGACCTCGAAAATCCTCCGCAGGCTATAATCTCAACAGTCTCTTCGTCGGCTCCGAAGGAACCCTGGGTCTCGTGACTGAAGTAACCCTCAAGCTCGCCGTTGTCCCCCCTGAACACTCGGTTGCGGTAGTCACCTTCCCCACGATTCGAGACGCGGCAGCTGCTGCGGCAGGTGTCATGCGTGCGGGTGTCCAAGTCGCGGCGTTGGAACTTATGGATGAGGTACAGATGAAAGTGGTTAATTTGTCCAAATCCACCGCGCCTAGACAGTGGAAAGAGCTTCCGACTCTCTTCTTCAAGTTTTCGGGCACCAAAGCTTCGGTCAAAGAAAATATCGCCATAGTATCAAAAATCGCCAAAGTGCACAAAGGCGGCGACTTCGAATTTGCCAAAGACGCCCGAGAACAGAAACTCCTCTGGTCCGCCAGGAAAGAATCCCTATGGAGTATGCTCGCGCTCCGCAAAGAAGGAAGCGAAGTCTGGAGCACAGATGTAGCAGTACCGTTCTCGAGACTAGCTGACATTATCGAGCTGAGCAAGAAGGAAATGGACGACTTGGGACTTTTTGCGAGTATTTTGGGTCATGTGGGAGATGGCAACTTTCATGAGAGTATCATGTATGATAAGAGGGTGGAAGGGGAAAAGGAAAAGGTTGAGAGGTGCGTGAAGAATATGGTGTTGAGGGCGTTGGAGATGGAGGGGACGGTTACGGTATGTGTCCATTGCGTCCAAGATTCTATTATGTTGTGAAGATATCGAAGACTAACGGATGGTGAATAGGGTGAGCATGGAATAGGCATCGGAAAGAAAGAATCGCTGCTATTGGAGCTAGGACATGATACTCTGGGAGTCATGAAATCTATCAAATTGGCATTAGGTGAGTACTTTTGTTTGCCCAATTTCTCTCCCTTCACCATACATAATTCGTATGTATGAGACTAACCAACTTGACTTTGTAGATCCTCACTGGATCATGAATCCAGGTAAAATCATTGATATCCCTAAATAATCGCTTACTTTGGGTATGGTACGGCTTGGTGCATATTTGCATCATACTTGCATCGTACTCGCATTTCGGAAGACGGGCAAAACTTTGTGGCATGACATGACGCTTGACAAAATATAGCATTGATGGGGGGAAGGGAGGTAACTTGTTCTTTGCGTGGATTTAGATTGGAATTTTGCACTTGTGCGCTATTGCAATGCGTGCACAGCGTGCATTTGGTGGGTTGGAATTGGATATATTGCTTGCATTTGAGGTATAGGGGAATTCTTTGAGTTGTTGTTTGATTTAACAATGCTGCGTGAAAATAAATGAGGATGTGTGACAAAAACTACTTTTATCCACAAAATGAAGGAGATATGGTAGTGCAATTTTGCGTGAAGCTATCTTTTGCCATGTTCATATGTAATCGAGTACAAATGCTCCTCTGTGAACGCATATACCATATATTCCCCAAACTAGAACAGATACCGGTACATTTCCATACAATTTAGTAGATGAGGTTTCCCCAAAGACCCTCTGTATAAGACCCATCTCCATACTAGAAACCCTCCAAGCTCAAAATTAATAATCATCCCCACCCCCTCCATCCCCATCCCCACCATCATCGTCATCCTCACCATTCTCAAAGTACTGCTCCGCATCGTAATCACCACCCATATCATCTTCGTCATCCTCATAATCGTTGTCCTGTTCCTCTTCAATCTCCTCTTCCCCTATATCCTCTCCTTCTCCATCCGCCCCCTCTACTCCCGTCGCCCTCTCAATCTTCGCTAGTAGAGCTCGAGTCTTCTCGGATGGATCTTCGCCGCCCATCGCCGCTATTGCGGCATTGTCCTTCGCGACCTTGGTTTCTTCTTCTCCATCTAGAACCGACCATAATTCTTTGGGATAAAAATCCTTATTAAAGTTCATCTCGCTCACCAACGGCACAGCTCTCTTCTTCCGTTGGTATTTCATACTATAGGTTTCAACGCCTAGAAAGGGATCAAAGTCCGCCTTGGTCTGTCGTCCATACTGTTCATTAAATTGTTTTTCTCCAAATGTCTTCGCAGGTGTCTCGACATCTCGCTTGGAAGAATGTGTGTAAAGAGGGCCGCTGTGAATCTTTTCGCGCAGTGTGCGGTAGTATTTCACTTGTGTTCGTTCTTGGGGTGTGAGAGGAGAAGGGCGTTTGAGATTGGGATGGCGCTAGAAAGAGTATGTTAGCAAAGGCTGTTCCGAGAACACCGCTCCTTGAAAATGAAAATGCGAGCAAAGCACAAGGCTTCAGAAGGAGCGATTGGGAAAGGGTTGTGACGTACAGGATAGTCATCATTTGGTGTGAAGTCGAGCTTTAAGGTAGCATCATGCTCCCATGTTGCGCCTTTTATTCCACCCCCTCCTCTGCCACCTCCTCTCCCTCCACGGAAAGCCATGCCGGACTAGGTTTTCTAGATTGCTAGTAATTCGCAACTTGGCAGAATATATACTGGATAGCGCCTGGTTTTAGTTGATAGATTGTCCGTCAATTGATGCGGGATTCTCTGTGACGAAGGCTTATTCAGTATGCATGTAAATCAAATAGGACTTCGATAGCGTTAGTGATTTTGAATAAACTTGGCGAGTGGTTTGTAATAGATAACAATAAGATTTGGGAACGAGGAATGAAATACTGATAGCTCTTCTTGTTCCCCAAGATTTCTTTTTGCCAAACCTGTAAGGCGGTGAGATCTGATTAGATTTCTGCCAGAAAGCGGTGAAAATTCCTCAGTTTTAGTTTTGTTGCATATCTGAAAGTTTGTCTGTCTCCCATCCATCCCAATTGGGAATACAAATTTAGAAAATACATGGACTGGGAATAAGGGTCCACTTTTGGGGTTTATTTCCGGTGATGTATTAAGTTAGTCTCCTTAGTCAGCAGTGCTTACTAAGTACTATGCTTTACGTGGGGGGGAGGGGTAAGCTTTCTGTTTAAGCTTCTAGAAAGTCCCCGAATTACAAAAATCAATACCGCTCTTTACCTTTTCACTTTCTTATAATAATGTTATCATAACATCACGTCACTACAACAAGGTTTAGGAGACAAAATGCCCAAGATGGACATAGATGATACCCCCATATTCAAATTGGAGGAGCTCGAGGCTCATCTTCAAGAGCTGGTCAAATCTTCAGATGTTCTAATCGATACAAAGCTTTTCGATGCTGTAGAGCTGCAGCTTACAGGTATGCCTCTGTTTAGGTCACTACGTTACACAATCATAATGGCTTCTAATTATTATTTAGAGTCCAACATATCCCCTTTGATCCCGAAGCTACTTCCTACCATTACTCAGATCCTTCTTAGCACTCAACAAGATCCTACAGTACTCGCAAGTCTATCCGTTAAGTTACTACAGCCAATCACATTTCCACAGGCCCTGGAGTTGGCTTCCGAGGACGCCCTCATTCTCGCACTTCGGTCTCCCGTACCTGCTGCGAATATCCTTGCCATAACAATCATCGAAAAAGCCACCAAAAATCCGACACATGTAGCACTTCTATCTAATATGAAAGGAGTGGTGGAGAATTATATCAGAACATGGCTTAGCAATCCTGATGTCGGAGTTGGCGAAAGGGCTACGCGGGCGCTAGGAGGACTTCTAGCTGCGGATTCCGATCGAAGGTCATCATCTATCACAAACGGCGTGGGGAGCATGGATATTGATGCTCAGCATCCACCTGGCCAGGGACTGCTTTGGCGACGAATGTTCCAAGACCGAGATATCTACGACACAATATTCTCGCTATGCAGCTTGAAGACCGTCGGAACCGATAATGATCAATTGGATGGAAAACAAAAAACACTCGCCCAAGCTCGCCTATTGAGACTTCTTCCTCGTTTGGCAGCGCTGGATTGTCGTACAATCACCCGGACATTTTTACCTGAAGTTGATAATAATTACATATCACCAGTCGGGAAACCTGGCCTGCTGTATTTCGCGGCAATGGAAATGGTAGATAAAGAAGATTTGCTTATGCATATGACGTTGACTATTTTCTTCTTGGAATTGCTGGATGCAATTAGTACTACGGATATAGCAGGCTCAACCAAAAAGTATGTTGCTGACATGCTGAAGATAGCTATGGAGTCAGACGTGGAGTTACGTCAGTCAGTTGAGAATATTACTGTATCGCCAGATTCAACTCCAAATTTGATAGCTCTGGTTCACTCCTTGAACCGAGAAAGTTGATGGAGCTCGAGGGGACTCATGCTTGGGCATTTATCCGCTGACTGGGCTGCTCTATCAATCATAGTGACAGTTAATCAAGCCACTCTGATGATTAGGAATCAACTTCTTAGCTCATGACTCGGATCACTCGGTTTGGAATCCTTGATCAACAAATGACCATTTCTTCTCTGTGTGTAACACGTGGCTGAGGGGGGCATCGCGAGAGAGCGAATGACTGACAATATGATGGCCATATTCTTGATAGAGTAGTCAAGAAGAGTAGTCAAGATCCTTAGCCACAGACAGACTGCAAGTTGTATGTAGGTTAGACTCCTTGGTACTGCATTTAATCATGACATTAAGTGCACTATTTACAGCTGATTTCAATATTCCAAGAAGTAGCTCATACACTGACATAGCAGAGAAGATGGAATGTTGCACATTTCTGGAACTTTAATTGATTTCTTATTCTGCATACAAACTCTTGTATATGCAATCCTCCTCGGATACCGTATTGATTAATCTTTTCCCAAATCCTGTCCTTACTTTGTACACCATTATTATTATATACAAATCTTGTGGGCCATACGTAAAAGTAGTTTTGGTCCAAAAGGTCTAGGTCATGATGATCATCAACAGGCATAATTCAAGCGTTCGGAAGGTTGGCTCGGACATTAAGAGAAGAAATAAGAGTGGGTGAAAAGGACTTTCAAGAGCATCATAGCGATAGGTATGAAGGACGATCCTGTTCACTTTGATCAATTCTAAGCTTGATTCAACACCTCCAAATATTGAAGGGGTCAAATTTCAGACTAAAGTGTATATATTCGGGTAGGCATTCTCACACTTGACTATTTCTTCCCACAACCACAACAACAACAAATAGGACTTGGTAAAGCCAGTATGTAACTCTACAAGTATTGATTAGGCTCCCAGCGGCGCGCAGTATTGAAAATTTGAAAAAGAAATTCTTCAGATTAGATCCCCCACTTTACTATTAAGGTCACCTCGGTTACTCCTGATGCAACATCAATCGATGCTAATCTCCTCACTGGGCTATTTTGCTGACATTTAGATATCAGTGGATCCATTTCTAGAAGACGAAGCTTTCTCTTGGCCTATCGTTAGGATGAAAACACACGGGATGGTCGGCCGGATCTTCTAGTTTTTGATCTTGTACCTGACTAGCTACCCATCAAATCGACGAAGTTCCAGTGCATTCTCATGAAGTCAAATGAGTATGTACGTACATACATACATACATACATACAGTAGCCAGTCCCCATCTGGCTAATAAGAATGTCGAATGATCTCCAACTCTTTGAGTAATGTGTAGTATACATGATACATTGGAACTTGGGAGGATACCCGATAATTCGGACCGGCTTTTTGGGACAACTTTAGACCGATCTTACTTTTTATCAATATTGGGGAAATTATTGCAGTGCTCAAACTCCACTCCTGCAGCCTATTGTTCATCTCTATAGGTCTAGTAGAAGCCTATAAGGTGACCACCTTACCCAAAGTAGACTCGGGAAAATGCTTTAAGCATAACTCTTCGGACGAACCAACCGAAAGAAAGCACGCCGTTCCTGCACCCGGAGCGGGCTTATTTCTATAAAAGCTTGATTCGTCCTTCTTATTGGCCAGCCGGACCTCTTTGCAACCGCGCTGCCTGAATTATTTATTTTTCGGGAGATTACCTGCCTAGTCTTCGCTTTCGTCTCTCGCATGTTTAGCGAGCAATATCACTCCTGATTATTGCGACGATACCACCTGCAGGCTGGTCAGGCACCATCGTGTAACCCCTGGCTCACAATGGACGATTTTGGTCTCGACAATGACGGGGTCATAGAACTGGCACATACCCTTGTTTTATATTTTGTCTTTTTTTCCTCTTCCTCTCCTCTCTCTCTGCTCTCTTTTGATTTTTAGACATCAAGCATCTCATCCACCGGTGACCTTAGTACTGTGCAAACATTTGTTTGCGTCCTGTCGTTGACATTCAAACCAATTTTATCACATTCTTTACTTGGGCTAGGCCTCTACACTTTCATTTTTGCTCATATATTCAATAATTGTTATAATGTATTCATCAAAGTTCTTTACTGTGGCCGCGGCTACTTTGGCGTTGATAGCTCCTTCTGTCGCACTTTACGATGCATCATCATCAGCAAATTTGGCTTTATATTGGGTATGACACGCAAATGAATTCAAAATGCTATTAATGATCATCGTGACAGGGTTCCGGACCGTTTCAAGCAAATATTTCACACTATTGCGAACAATCTACAGTAGACATCATTCCATTGGCTTTTATGAATGTGTTCCCTGCGCAGGGTAATGGTTATCCAGCGGAGAACTTTGGTAACGCTTGTTATGGTCAACCAATATTCACACCAGGTCCGGGTTATCCATTTGGAGACGTAGATACGTCGAAAGATCAACTTTACGTACAATGTCCAGGAATCCAAGAAGGAATCCCTTACTGTCAATCACTGGGCAAAAAGATATTACTTTCTCTTGGGGGAGCCTCTGCCACTTATCAACTCACAGGTGTTGCTGATGGGGAATACTTTGCAGATTTCTTGTGGGGAAGCTATGGACCTTTCAAGCAATCATGGTTGGATGCTGGTGGAATTCGACCGATGGACGGTGGTTACTACGGCACAGATCCCACCATTCATGTTGATATTGATGGATTTGACTTCGATATCGAAATCGCTCCTACCGGTGAGACATATCATGATGCACTCTCATGTCACATCAATACTAATAAGAAGTAGATTCCTCTGAAGGTTATATTGCGATGATTAACAGACTTCGAGAACATTTCTCTGAGAATCCCTCGAAGAAATACTTGATTTCCGGAGCTCCGCAATGCCCATTACCGGAACAAAATATGGGAGCCATGATCGCTGGCGCACAATTTGATCTTTTGTGGATTCAGTTCTACAACAATGATTGGGCTCAGTGCACAGCTCGCCAATGGGCCGACAACTATGCTTTGAAAGGACAAGAAAACTCCGCAGAATTCACACACGATCAATGGGTCTCAACGATCAATAGTGGTGCAAGTGCAGGTGCCACAATCTATCTTGGCCTCCTCGGTTCTCCTTTAGCCGGAACTGCCACTGACTACATCTCTCCACTTGAGGCACAGAGTTTGATTGAATCTTATCACGACAAACCTCAGTTCGGAGGTGTCATGGTTTGGGAAGCGACATATTCCGAAGAGAACGCAGATGCTGAGCTTAACGGGCAATCTTATCACGCATTTGTCAAGTCTTGTTTGTCTCCTTACGCACCTCTTCCTATCTCGACCATTAGTAGTTCTAGCTCCACATCGGAGGTCTCTATCACTTCTACTATCTCATCGTCAATTGAGTCACCCGCTACCTCAAGTAACACTCCTTCGATCTCATCGATCTCGTCCTCAATTTCAGAGTATCCCGCTGAACCATCTTCAACTTCCTCGGAATCCTCAGTTTATTCATTTGAGTCTTCTGCTGTGCCATCTTCAACTTCGTTAGAATCAACGGTTTATCCCTCAACTTCCTCCTCGTCGGCTTTCCCAACTGCGACTTCATCTGCCTATTCAGTTCCAGGATATTCACACAATGCCGCGTCTCGTTTGACCCATTCTTTCAAGCCAGTAGGAAGTGGCACATTGCCAGTGCATTCTTCCAAGCCCACAGATAGCGACACATTTACCGGATACTCTTCTAAATCAACAGATGTCGCGACAGGCCACAGCTCAAAGTCTCACTCGTCTAAGCCATCATCCAAACCATCTTCTGGCCACACTGCTCCAGGATACTCATCTAACTCCACTTTCAGTAGTAGTACCAAATCGACCAAACCATATCCTACCAAGTCTGTTGTGACAGGTACTGGAGAATCTACCAAACCATATCCTACTATATCGTCTGTGGCCGGTACTGGGGAATCCAGTAAGCCATATCCTACCAAGTCTTCTGTGATTGGTACTGGGTACTCTGGCAAGCCATATCCTACTAAGTCCTCTGGAACTGGTACTGGAGCATCTACCAAGCCATACCCTACCAAGTCATCTGTGATTGGCACCGGTCAATCCAGCAAACCGCACCCTATCAAGTCTTCTGGAACTGGTGTAGGATCTTGCAAGAGCAAAACTAAGACCAAGACCAAGAAATTATCTACAGGTCCATCAGGATACCCAGGATCTAGCTCCTCTATCGAAATCTCATCGACAGTGCCATATGGAAACGTTACTTATAGCCACTCGAGAACCAAGCCAGCTTCTAGCTCCACTTCTTCCGCTGAAGGGGTTACTGTATCGTCAACTAGTGCTTCTCAAACTGGATCTACTGCAACCGAATCTACTGTGATAGGATCTTCAACAACTGATGTCAGTGAGATGACATCTGGATCTGCTATAAGCACCGGATCTGTATCATCAGGAACTGTCTCTGTCTCTGCCAGTGGATCGATTTCATCTGGGGTCGCCTCGATTACATCGGTCGTCCAGTACACTACATCTACGGCCTATGTCACCTCTATTTACATCATCACATCGTGTGCTGCAACTGTAACAGATTGCCCGGCAAGAATTGGATCTGTAACCACCGAGACAATCTCCTCTTACACCACTGTTTTCCCTGTGAAAGAGACCGATGGAAGTGGTGGTGTTGTTAGCTCGACATCTCCCGCAATTGTAGTACCAGCCTCGACCACTGCACCTATTGCTTATGGAACTTCAACTGTCTACCAGACATCTTTTTACACTATCACTTCATGTGCTTCAAGTGTAACTGATTGTCCAGCCAGATCTGGCCATGTAACAACTGAAACCATCTCATCATACACTTCCGTGTATCCAATCTCCGTATCTAACACTCCTATCAATATTCCTAGTTCAGAAGCTTCATCTGCTGTTGGAACTTTGACCTCATTTCTCGTACCTGAAGCTTCGTCTATCGCTGAAGTATCCCCATCAATCACAACCTCCGAAGCTATCGTCCCATCGAATCTATACACGACCAAGATTTCAACTCTCGTCGGATCCCAAACTATAACCATTTCCGCGGTTATCGCCCCATCCACAATTACCGTTGCCCCTGTCCCAGTAGCATCCACCACCCTAGTACCACCATACGGTGCTGGAAATGGAACACTCGCTGGAACTGGGAGCTCATCTGCTAGTGGCGTCACACGTGTGTCAAAGCCAAGTTCATATGTTATCAAGGCGGAAGGTGGAGGCAGTACTCAGACATCAGTACCAAGTCCTACGGCTATTACGTTTGAGGGAAGTGGTAGTAAAATAGTGAGAAAGATGGGTTTGATGGCGGGGATGGTTTTGCTGGGTTTGTTGTTTTTTTAAATTATGATGAGATCTATATGAGATAGGGAGAGAAGGTTCTTGGAGGAGATAACTTATGAAAAGATTATTCATTTATCAAATGTTTATTGTATATATTTTACGGATATCTCACTGAATATTCTACTACCTACATGCCTTAATGAGTTATTGGTCACTTAGATGGTCAATGTATACTCATGTGAAGATAAAATACAGTCTTGTGGGTACAAAATATGAAGATAGTTTCCCTATTTCTCACTGTAGGTATTATCACGACTTGGACTTCTTAGAATATTCAATTGGGTAGAGCATTCCCATTGGCTAATAGGATCGCCCGTTGATTATTGGAAGGTACTATTAGCTATAGTCAATGAACGATATTGACAAAAGGGACTGGCCAGACCCTCAGGTTCCACTACATGAAACGGCGTGCGAATTTCTGCTTGAGCGTTTTGTGAAGAAGTCACTGTGTACCTAGGTAGGACTTTAGTTGATCCTGACTACAGATTATAGTTGTTAGACTATTGTTCTCATCTCATACGTAAGGACTGATTTTCATGATAACCAGATGAGATGTTAGTGAGGTCGTCTCAACTCCTTTTAAACGATGATTTCGGTATATCTGTATATGCTGATAATTCGCCGTTTAAATTATTGTGAAAGGGAAAATTAACATAACGATATGAAAGTGCTTGAACCATCGAAAATCCCTGGCTAAAGCTTAAGGAACTCGAGTAACAGCACACACTTGCAATCTTCTACTGATATATATATTACCAGCCCTTTCTCTCATAGTATAATGAAATGTGAATCTTATAAAGTTAGAAAACATTAATCTGATCAATACTCACATTGTCTGTAGCGAATGAATCACAAAACAATCAAATATCATTTTATGAAAGAGCAGTTTTTGAATGTCAGCCCAAGCATATAATCCCGCTCTTTCAATGCCCTATTTGGATAAATTCCCAATCTCACAGTACGTAACTATCTACAACCTCTCCAACTACCAACCATCAAACTATATGCGCGATGTGCAACATTTGTCGAAAAATCGAGATTATAAAGAACATCGACTCAAAACTACTCAAACCCATCATCTTGATCCTCTCCAAGCTCCACGAACGAATAGAACCTGGACTCGGAGATTCTCTGCTACGGCGCGAAACACGCATACATACAATTCGAAGGCACTTGTTTATTATACAAAAAGGACCTTTGAGAATTCTCATAGGAGCGGTTATCGCAGATCTAGATGCTGAACTGGGCAAAATAGAAGTCAGTAAGGTCAATCATCCAGCTGTATATAGTGTAGGAAGACTAGATAGTCTGAAGGAGAGGATTCGACCTGATGAGAGCTCGAGTGTCAGGATGCGGAAAACAAATAAGGAGAGGGAATGCAAGGACTTAAACCACGTAGCGGAGCTCAAAGACATTCCTCAGAATGAAATGGAACAAGATTTGTCAATGTATGATCTCCATCCTCATCCGCAGACTATTGAAGGGTCAATCCAACTGGTGGAAGGTTGGTTTGCAGGGAATAGTGAGGGTTTGCTAAGCGAGGGGGTTTCTCGATATTGAGAGGGTTTATACCAGTATGGATTAGAGCAAAGTAAACGGTCTACACAACAGTAAGGAACGGTCAAATTCAATGTTTTTATGGATTTGTTTCCCCTTCCACAAAATAAAAAGCAGTAATGATGCGCCAAATTAGGTCAAAATGCTTCAACAAGTCGTGAGATACTGACCAGTGCGCGCATTTGCTCAGTGTTATTCTCTTCTGAGTACAGCACTGGTCTAGTCTCGAGTTTAATTCTTCAATTACTGTGCTCTGTTTCCTATGAACCGATCGGCGATTGTCAAACCAAACCAGCGCAAAAATTACACATCCACAATCACCTCTTGGTACACGATTGCCCCTAGTGTACCCTCTTGCTATATCTCCAGCTACACCACTACCAACACTCTCCCTACCGAAGTGAGTGCCCGATTACGCGGAATATTTTCTCCAGATGACAAGCCCTCGCCGATCACAGAGCAAGCATTGGAAAGTCTACAGGAATTTGATGCCGATTCGATCGCTAGCCCGACTGTACCATGGCCACTTTAAATATCGATGTGAGCCCTCTGCGTTTAAGAGTGGATCGTCATGGGAGATATTATTGGTAGGTTAGAGGTGCGGCTGATTGGAGACGTTGTAGTCAGCGTCAGATGCGGTTTGAGATGAGGATGGAAGAGGTATACAGAGAGAATAGTCGGGAGATGGTGAAGGCTTTGCCATATGGAGTGGAGAGTGTTAAGGAGCGAGTTTACAATTGGCTGAGGTAAACGCACGGTGGTAATACCACTGCGAGACAATTTGAGGTTGGATTTGGCTAGAGTATGTGGGCGAGCTTATAATGTATTGTAGATTGATCATGTAAAGATCACAAAGACAAAATGCTTACAACCATTCATGAAGAAGCGTGAAAGCAAAACAAGATACTAGATTTGACGTACTACCACCACCTCTCTCATTTACCCCCAAGTCTCCTCCTCACTTTCATCCTCCTCTCCTATTCGCCAGTATGTAAATCAATATGATCCAAGATGTCGCCACACGGTAAAAACAACCAAAAACTCAAAGTTCTCATAGTTCAACGGTCTGACCGCTCGCTTCGAGATGATAAATTTGCTAATATTCAATTATAGTCCTCATCCGTAAGGATTGGGTCGACCAACTGAATAGAAGCTGGAATACAACAAAGACCAGCACAAAAAGCGAAAAGCACTATACCAACAATGCATAACACCTTTACAGGCTTTACTTCTTTCCTAATTTGCGATACACACTGTTACTGACCAACTGGAATGATTTATCGTCTGTATTGAAAGTCCCGGGCCCGGGCAGCTGATATAATCTGACCGCAGTGTAAGTTTCATTCCTCCATTGAATATAAATTGTGGCAGACTTGTGGGACTACGAGAACTGAGAACTGTATTTTTTTTTGTTCCATCTAGACGTTGAGCTGTATTGACTTTGAAAAGTATACAGAAAAAGTGGGTGCGCACTTTGAGATTCAAGCCAGGGAAAGCAATGTACGAGTAGTTGTCTCCATGATCTCGGTATGTTGAACCGAAAGATGTCAGATAATATAGTTGGCATAAAGGCGCAGTAGCTAACATCTGACACACTTGATAGTCGATGGTTCAAATGAAGAGTTTCGTTATTCAATTTGACCATCACTTGGCCTCCTTTTATTGGTTCTGGCTATTTATTTGACACTTTGGCATCGCACAAGGCAGTCAGCCAGTCAGTCAATGGAGTCTAGTAGAGGAAACACACATTCATCCATTCCCAACTGGAATTTAACAAATGTTTTCAAGTTACTTATTTCTCTCACCATCATCATTCCCCCATGACAATCACACGGTCTCTATTTGTAAGTCGAGGTCTAATATTTATCTTCACCCTTTCCTCTTTCCCTTCTTCACCTCAACACAAATCATAACATCAACGTCCCTTCCACATTACCCATCATCTAACATACATGCATAGCCCTCGATACCATAACACAACAAACAAACCAGACAAAAGTCCTCACTTTAGTCTCGCAGTCTACCAAATCGCCTCAAATTTCAAATTTCTCAAAAAATTGCTAACATCGACCCCCAGATAAATATCAATGTATCATAGCAGCAGCATCAACATCAATAAGCAGCACCAGCAACAACCAACAACAAGAAGATGGGAGCAGCTCAAAAAAATCGTACGTTCTTTCCCCCTAGTCATGAACGACTATATATTGACTCGAGCGATCCTCCTAGTGGTCCGGACAAACATCCACCCCGAGCACAGTCGGCCACATGGAAATCCGAACGACCTCCTTATACCTCTACCCAACCACATCATAGCCCGAGCTCAAAATCGTGAACACATCCCTCATCGCCTCAATCAAATCACAATTGGAACCTATCTTTCATCCTACACTCAACATCCGAATCTTGAACCATGCCTTGTACGCACCAGGCTAAGTGTACCGTCATTCAAGCCGCATGTCACTGGAGCACTCCAGACCGGTCATGCCTTCGGATTCGGAGTTCAGTTCAAGAAATTGGCACATCAGGAGTTTGACGTGCTGTTAGATGTGTCAATATGAGAGATAATGGCCGAAGCACACAAAAAGACATAACCTCAAAAAAAACACTAAAACTACAAAATGCATCTAAAGCACCAAAAAGATAACACCAAAAAGCAGAAAGCATCTATACCAGCAAATAAATTATTACTCGGGTTCGATAGCCTTTCTTATGAGGGTAAGTAAATCCAATTCCTTGATTGAGAGAGGGGGCGATGAGTAGACTTGTGAGATGTGAGATGTGAGGACTTAATTTTTTCAAGTATAGACCTTCCAAATTTGGGCTGTAGTCCATATTCGAGATATGAGAGCTGTTAGTGTTTGAAGAGCTGCGAAGATTGGAGATGGACCTAAATATCTCAAGTGGATTTGATTTATCGCATGGGTTGGGCATATAAAAGGGGTTATCTGGGCAATCGAAGATCCTGGTTGAGCCTTGGCTGAAGTGATAATACGTGCGACTATAAACTAGAGTTATGATATCATTTGATTCCGTAGGCTATGCAAAAATAACCCGAAACCCGTGGGAAATTTCGATATGGGATGTGATCTAAAATTGATCACTTCATCAATTTCTCAACTCTCTTTTCCAGACTCTTCTCAAACTCCCCCACACCACCCTCAAGTACCTTCATCCCGCCCCCCTTAACCACATAAACCAATCTCCTCCTCTGCTCCTCTTCCTCCTCATCCTCATTTCCCTCCTCCTCCTCATCGCCATCTTTCCACCCCTCAACTACCTTCCTCACCAACCACCTATCATGACTCACCACCACAACTCCTCCATTCCACCCCCTCACCGCCTCTCCCAAGGCCCTTACGGTCCAAAAATCCAAATGTGTCGTAACTTCGTCTAGCACCAATAACTGCGGTTCCTTCCATACCAGCCTCGCTAATGCTAATCTTACAAGCTGTCCACCAGAGAGTTTATTGATCGGGACATCTGATGCGATTCGACCTTGCAAGCCCAATCGACCTAGAATCCCGCGGATTTCTTGTTCATTGAGCAAACCATCCACATCTGAAGTCATGAGTGAGAGGGCTGTAAGTTCTGGTGAGGTATGCGAGAGAGTTTGAAGATCCTCGACTGAATGTTGAGAGTAATACGCTAACTTCAGTCTTGGATGTCTCGTCACAGCTCCCTTGGTAGGTTTCGCAGTCCCCGTAAGTAACGAAAGAAGCGTGGATTTCCCACTTCCGTTTAAGCCCAAAATTCCAATTCGATCACCCATATGAATCGTTATATTGACATTCTCCAAAACAAACGGGGCTGAAGTAGCTTTCAAAGTAGCAGGATATCGAAACGAGACATTTTCCAGCGAGGTTAATGGGCCCGGAAACCGCAAATCAGGAGTTGGTGGAAACATCATCGAGATACCTTTATCCTCAGGCGGAATCTCAATATCTTCTCTAGCTTTCAAATGGTAACCGCTTAGGTCGCGGTTTAGTTTGAACCTTGTTCCTTTGGCACTAACTTCCATGCCCATTCTGTTATCTAACTTCTTCTGGCGGGATTTGGCTTGGCGGAGTTTATTTTCATCGCCGGCTGCTTTTCCTTGTTTAATGTTTTGTTGGATGGTCTGTTGCATGTGGGACTTTTGTCTTTCTTGGGCATCGTGCATGCGGAGTAGGTAGAGAGTTCTTTCGCGAATCGAAGATTCATATGTAGAGAGGGAACCGCGGAAGTAGGTGAGTGTTTGAGAGCGGAGGATTACGAGTTCTTGGGATGTGGCGGTGATGAAATCGCGATCGTGGGAGACGATTATGATGGTTGGCGGATTGGGTGCGGAGTATTTGAGGTTCTCGAGGTACTTCTGTAGCCAGATTATGCCGAGAAGATCGAGAAAGTTAGTGGGTTCATCGAGAATTAGAATATCGCTTGGTTGAAAGAGTACCGATGCTAGATTTGTGCGTATTCTCCATCCTCCGGATAGAGTATTGACTGGTCTATCCAAATATACTTTGGGAAATCCCAGACCGGCGAGAATACTTCGTGCCTTTATCTCGATATCTGCAAGTCTGGTAGGCTCTAGCTGTAGTTGTAGCTCTGCAAGAAGCTCCGCTGCTAGGTCTGTTTCTTCTTTGATTGTGGTTTCGTCTATATCTTCATCTTTTTGATTGATACTGTATGATTTATTAGAATTCGTGCGCTGAATTGGACCGCGAAAACTTACAGTTCCTCGGAATCTGCAACCGTCTTCTCAAAGGCAATCAATGCTTTTCGTGCCGCCATACCACGAGTTCCACTCCTGAGTCTAGCATCTTTGTCCTTCTCAAAAATCTCCTTCTTCAGTCTTTCGTGCTGTACTTGCCGGAAAGCCCGTATAGGCGTCAATAAATCTCCTTGGCTATCCACAGCTTCCGACAGTACTGTGGTTTCTGTCAATATCCATAGTATTCATGCGGACTTAAAATACAAGACATACCATCAATTTCATGTTGAACTGAACTTCTTGATGTGGCCTTGTCAATAACTCCTTCCAACACCGACAGCTTGCTTTTCATCTTTTCAACGGACTCAACATTCTCTCCAACCCCCTTGTTTTGGTCGGCATCTTTCGAATCCGCATCTGTTTGTTGCAAGATAGAAATCCTGGTCTGTAGAGGAATGCCCGGAATCAATTTCTCTGCAATGGCTTTCAACAACGCTTTATATCACCCGAACCATTAGTCTCCTCACCTTTTACATGACATGGCGTAGAATGACAAAGAAGACATACTGGATTTTCCCGTCCCATTTCTCCCAATCAATGCATAAAATATTCCAGCCTTAAGTTTTAAACTTGCATTTGATAAAATCTCAAGTCCATCTGCTCGAGATTTACCTTTTGGTTTTACACCAGATTTCCCCAAAGATGTAACAGTGATGTTTAAGCCTTCAATATCAAGCTACGATATCTATCATCAGAATTCGTCTCAAATCGAAATGTTGTTGGAAGCTTGCAGAGAAGAAAAGGATGTAACTACCTCCTGATAAACCGGATTCTCAATATGAAATCTTGTTTGTTTACACGAACATAAAATCGTGGTTGCTGATTCTCCTTGAGACGTCATTTTCCTCTTATACCTCTCTTGCGTTGCAATAAAATACAACCACTTCGATCTCCAGCGAACAATTGAATAGATTCGAACAAAGGAGCAAAGAATGGAAAAACAACAATTGAAATTATTAGTGAACCTAATTTCAATGATATCCAACTCAAAATTGAGAAATTCAACGTTAGATACTATATGCATGAACAAGATACGAGTACTACCAAGACCCCTCTAAACTTAAACTTGTTGCCGCTTTCCGATTTCTCGGTTGGCCTGACTCATATCTCAAAATAAAGATATTTTACACGCAACGCAACACAACATCTGTTGTTTCCTTTAACTTGATGCGCTTTCAAAAGGATCTCTCAGCTTTAGATGCATTAAAATGTAACATTGAATGTCTCATTCCATCGATGGTTTTGTATGCTCCTCTGTAGATGATGATAAGTGCCGAACATTTTGTGGTCAAATACGTTTGAACGAACCAAGATTGGTGCTTCGCGTTCTACTGAGTAGTCCAATATCACGTGTCATATTGCCGAGCCGCCTCAACTCAAAGCACAGAAGTCACTCTCAATCCCCTGCTTGCTGAGAAATTCTCAATCTAGTTTACTACTAAACAGTCGTATCTTTAAAGCATCAGCGTCATCACGACATCAGAATGGAAACTTGTCTCCCAAAAAGTGCGAATCCCCTCAAGTACCAAGTACAGGCATCTATCTATCTTGTGAAATAAACAGGGGTTAAGCGACCAATCATATACCGGTAGTTCAGATTCTTTAATAAACCTAAATCAATAATATTTCTGAAAATTGTATATGGACTATATTTCAATAAGACTATGGCACTTAAAGGAATGGGTGATCTAACGTAAGCTGGGGTAGAATGTTACGTGTAGAATGCTACCTTGCCAACCTTTGGCGGAAGATATATCGGTCCATGCAATGTTGACCGGAATTAAAGGGGATCAAGATTAGGGAATAGTCAAGCAAACGGGAGGAATTAGAATGGGTTTAGCTTATGGTTCCATGTATAAGCATTTGAAGATACCTATTTGTTCCTTTGGGTTAAATTGGTGGGGTACGAAGGATTGTGCATTTGTTGGTTGATTGTCATCCGAATCTTATTGGATGGAGAAATCACATTTGGACGAAGAGGAGCAAAAAGATATATTTGGATCGGGACGATCAAGGCAGGAATTGATACAAACAGACTATAAGCTTTGTTATGAGAATGGCGAGTCGTGATGAAGCGAGTAGCTTAGAGGAAGAAGGGGGTAGGTCAGAGGAAGTTCCCAAAGGAAGAAAATTGAAAAGGTAGAGGTTGTTTGGGCACATGGACTCGATGCAAACGCTGTGCTCTAGCGTCTTTCTAGGGGGGAAGAAGTATTAGCCTAAAGATGGTGCCAATGAATACATCTGGGTCTTATGATAGTACTGGTAAGTTTGGAGATCGAGATGTCGATGCTTCGAGATCAAGATTAGGAAACAAAACGCAAGGCTTGGCATTGAATACATTTCCACTCCCTCTCCATTCCTTTCACACTCTCTTCAATCTCGAACAGCCCACAAGTACACAACGCATCGTCTTTTTGACCCGTGATCCTATTTCGCCCTTCAATATCTGAAATCTGGACACACCATTAGTTGGATGCACAATCAGCCGCCATCCAAAGAACTTACTACTCCATTCACAACAGATCAATCAACCCCTTCCCCCTAATATCGAATTCCTTAAGTTCCCCACATACAATGGCCGTCCTTACACCCCTCACACAAATCACTATTATGCGGCTTCTGATTATCCTTCCTCTGAAAAAAAGGTCGCTCCATCTCGATCCCATTCCACTTCTTAATACGATACGCCACTCTCTCCGCATACGAATCATCCAGCAATAGTTGACCGAGACAATTGCAACTCTTGCAGCGCTGATGATACACCCTCGCATTGTATTTGGACTCGGCGTACATTCGAATTGTAGTGGCTACTTTCTTGCTTGACCATCCATGCGAGATACACGATTTATTTCGACATTTGAATTGACCCATGATGTTGGTATCGTATTCTCGGATGCAACCACGAAGATTGTCGACGGAGTGAAAGCTGAAGTGGAGATTGTCTTCTTCTAGTAGGTTTGAGACGTTGGACTGGAGTGAGGGATGCATAGACCATCTCTCAACCTCGTCAGGTTTGGCTTCATCATGGAAAGTTTTCATTTTGAAGGAAGAGGGGTTGCCAGTGGATCTTGGGTGGTGTCGTGGTGAATGTGCGGGGCGCGTGTGTAATTCTTTCCATGCGGATAGAAAGACCTTCGAGAAAGCCATCTTCCTCAAATTAGCTCTCGGTTCCGCAGTAAAAGCCTCGGGATACCATTACCTTACTATTCGTCTCCAATATTTAGCTAGAGAGGGTAACAATACTAGCAGTGAGATGATGTGATGTAGTTGAGTTCAGGGAGCATGAACTTTATTTGAAGAAAGGAACAGTCAAAGGGAATTTGGGTTTATATAAGCCAAAGATGGAGAGAAACTATTATCTCATAAGCCTATACAAATGCAGAATCTGTATATCAACTTGCTTCTTCATCCATTAGATTGGACCAAGTCCAATCAAACCCCAGTTTTCCGTTTACCAGACGGAAGGCTGCGTCATCAAAATAACCGCAACTATAGGAAATATGCATTTCCGAATCCTGAAAAACTAAATAAAAAAATGTATAGTAACCGAAGTGTGTTTGTAAAATTTCAAAGATTATGACAAGTCACTGTTTAATAAAAGATTGACCAATACTAGTTCATTATCTGAATATTCTCCTGATACATTATAGAAAATGGGGTTTTCGTTACCGAATATACCTATTGACACAAACACCAAGGCAATTTAGTTGTATGCTGCAGCCAATTACCTTGCGGGCATTGAGAGAATGTATATAATCATCAAATAGCAAACACATCTACTCGAATAGACTGTATCACTACCACAATAAACTAGCAAGGATTGAATACCACAGTAAAATCATTGAATAAATTTTTACATTGGGGCATATCATCCAAACTACCTACTGAAAATGCCCACAGCGTTTTGTAGATATTTCGAAATTCAAGCATTTGTACCACAGCACTAGCTGTTATTATTATCCCCATTTGGTTCAGTCTCGTATAGTTTTCAAATGACTATTAAAACTTATGATTTTCTCCACAGAGAGGCACTGTATTGTACGGGAAGCATAATATCAGCAGTGATAAAATACATATATTCTAATTTTACTATCCGTACTTCTACAAACAGTCAAAATGTATGATTGACCGGTCTCTCCACTCGCACGTGGTCATAGCCAGATTCCCTTCTTGCCACCATTGGAGTTCATGTACAAAAGTATGAGAAATAATGTTGTTATTTCTCTATTCGACTCTCAAACTTTGTAATCTTGCTTCTGTTGCAATTACCTGGAAGGTGTTAGCCATAGTAATATCGTATGGATGTGAAGGATGAAAGTAAAAAACTTACATCAAGAGCCTGATGAACCTCAAGGACCTTTCTAACCTCGCCTAACCAATCCTTACTCAAAGTCTTTGCCCACCCCTTTAATCCGTTCATTTCTCTAGCTGCGCCATCCAGGTCACCTTCCTCAAGGAAAGTCTCCGTTCGAGTCAAAATACTCTCTACATCATCGCCAGTAGCCAAACCCTTCTTCTTGAAGAGAAGCTTACTCAACACGTAACTCGAAGCATGGCTAGCGACACCGGCCTCCTCAGGTAATAAAGAAGCTTTGCGAACTTCGGATGCAACGCGGCGGAAACGATCGATGAGCGCAGATGAGCTTGGAATACCCCTTTGGTAAGCGACTGGGTTGATAGATGCGATTGCTGCATTGACAACTGGGTCATCGGATGCGATTTCCTTTAGGGCAGCAAGTTCTCTTGTGAAGGGACGTGGAATTTGAGATTTTTCAAGATTAGCACGGACCGCTTCGACAGCAACATGGAGATGTTGAGTCTTGAGATTGGCGTCGACGACGGTATTCCAATCACCAGTAAGTTTCTCGAGGTCATTGACGGTGCTAGTTAGCTCGGAGAGCTTGCCAAGGCGACCTTCTCGTTCTTCCTCGACGCGAGTTTTAACATCAGCTAAGAATGCACGCTTGAGTTCAAGAGCTTGTTCCGTCAAATGGTTCTTAAGTCTTTGTTCATTAACCTCATCTGCGCGATCGAGCTCGGACTTAAGCTTTTGCTCGTAGTTCTCATGAATTCTCTTGCGCTCGGACTCATACTCAGCTCTGAATTGGGTTTCTTGCTCCGCTTGTTGGTTCTTGAAGTTCTGCATAAGTTGCATAGCGGCACGATCGAATTCTCCATCGGAAGACTTGATTTTCTCGTCGGCTTCCTTCAATGCTGCCTCCTTCATACCCAAAATTTTACCACCAACTCTGTTCAATTCTGCCTTAGCCTTGTCGATAGAAGATGTAAATCTAGCATTTGCGTTATCGGCATTAACGACTGCAATGATATCATTCATAATCTTAACCAATTCTTGGACCACAGGCTCGTTCCCATCGGGAATATTAATGGGGTCAATTCGCTCAATTTTCTTGTATGCTCTAGATGGCTCATTCACTTCGGGGTCCTTTGAAGACTTCTCTGCTTTAGGTTCTGGGGTAGTTGGTGGTGCGGGTGGAGCGGGTGGAGCTGGGGAGGTCTTCACTGGAGCATCTACTCTCTTCGCTTGCTCAACGGCCTTGACTCTATCAGCTGGTTTTGAATCTTGTGGTGTCTGAATAGCCTCCGATGGCTTTGCCTTCTCCTTTGCCGAACTAGTGTGTCGTCCTGTAGAATCCTTGTTCTCATTTGCGACCCTCCAAGATACGCCGCTTTGGCTTGGAATTTTGACTTGCTCGCCAGTATCTCTAGGGGGCTTGGGAGCTCGGTTTGCGATCCGTGGGAAGCGTTTTCTGAATTCTTGTTCCTCAAAGTACAGCACGGCTTCCTCCCCGAAAGGTATATATTCCGTAAAGAAGTCATGGAAGTTATCGTTGATTCGAGAATAGTAAACTCCTCCACCAAATCCCAATGTAGTCAAAAGAAATAATGTAGTGAAGAATTTGCGAAAGAAGCGTCTCTTTGGCTTTGGTGCTGAAGATGGTGGGGTCGATGATGGAGGGGAAGGCCCTGGTATTCTAACTCCCGGAGGTGGGGGAGTAAGTGGGACATTTTCTGCAGGAATCGTGGTAGAGGCTGGAGTAGCTGGTGTTGGGGCAGCTGAATTGAGAGTTACCACTGCTCCTGGTGGTAGTGGTTCAGACGTGGCTGCGCTGGCAGATCCGGGGAGTACTGGGGGCCTCGAGTCTTTTATGCTTGGCTTATCGGCATAACTTCTCTGTAGTCGCAAAAGCTATCAGCATTCGTTCCACCACTTAATTGTCCGGAAGAGGATATTTTGAAGCTTCATACCATAGTATCCGATATGACCCGGACATTTTGTGCCTTCCATTGACGTCCAGGACTGACAGCGCTGGGTCTGAGACCCAACGCCCTCGATGATCGAAGACCAGCTCGCAGCATGACAGGCTGCGTGGAGCGACAAGTTATATTTGAGGTTGGTGATGTTGAAACGCGTGCTCTTGTGCCGATTATACGGCTCGGGATAAAAACACTTTCAAGTTCCTAGATGAAGCTCGGACCACAACACTTTTTGGCTGATGAATGATGGCAAAAGCCCAAGGATCGGATTTTAATCAGCCAAATGTGCAAGGCTACGAAATATTGTAGGAAAGCAATTTGTAAATTCTCAAAGGTAACACTTATTGGAAATAGAATATAAATTCGTGTATTGAGATATTCCCTATGATAGTCATTCCTACACACGTTCTGTGCATTAAAAAAAAGTGTTTTAAATGCATGGTTCTATTGCATATCGTACATCCCAAATGCCGAAGAACAAATTCATCAATAAAAAGAAAACCCCCCTTTCACGCCTGGCAAGCAGAAATCTGCTGCAAATTAAACCCTTGCCACAAGAATTTAGAGACATCAAGGTATTAAAACGATTGCTCTCGTAAATTTCGAGGTGGCCAACATGTATGCTGCCCCCAACCAAGCAATCTTGTTCGAAAAGGAACACTATTTGTGGAAAGCCCCGACAATAGCTCGTTCTTGGTATTAAAGGTTCATTCCACCCAATATGTCCTATACTCCACCGCATTTTCATCACAAAGTTTCTCTAACAGGCACATCCTGGACCTGATTGTGTTCCTGGCGCCTCGGGCCTGAGATCAACACCTGTTCCTCGTGGACCACCAGCTCTCGGATTTCTTGGACCGGCTTGATCTAACGGCAGTTTCTTTGCAATGGCCGTGAATAATTCTCTCACGTTCTCGGAGGTTTTGGCGGAAGTTTCAAAGAATAGTAAACCGGCTTCCCTCGCATAATTCGAAGCGTCTTCAGTGGTGATAGCACGTTTATCCGGGTGTTCCGTGACTAAATCGAGCTTGTTTCCGGCCAGAGCGATGATGATATTCTCGTTTGCTTGTCGTTGAAGTTCTTTCACCCAAGATTTGGCTTTATCCAATGAGGACTACCACACATGTTAGCGGGCATTTTCCAATCTAGAAAGTAGAGAAGCGTACAGCTTGTGTAATATCATAAACAACAACAGCACAGTTGGCATTTCGGTAATACATGGGCGCCAGCGATTTGTATCTCTCTTGACCTGCAGTATCCCATATTTCGAATTTGACTGTGGTATTTTCGTCGAGGGAGATTGTTTGAGTTAAGAAAGCTGCGCCGATAGTACTCTCGCGATCTTTTGAATAGTCAGCGGTGTGGTTTTTGTCCATATCAAATTCCCTGCTCAAATTGTGCCGAGGCCTTCGATATGAGAATAAGCTTCGCTGGAGACTACTCACAATCATCGAATTGATCCTGGTATAAGATGTTAGTTTAAGACAATCTTCTTGCCTGGAATTGGTGATAAATACCTTAACGAAACGTAATACCAACGAGCTCTATTCGAATATCAGCATTTAGCATAAAACTATCTGGCGAACAGTAGCGGCTCATACCTTTCCGACGGCAGACTCCCCTATCATTAAATCGTTAGCAGTGAAAGAAACGACTATCTCAAGAAGCCATCGGAACCACCTACCAAGTAACACCAGTTTAAACTGCGCAAATCGTGAATTTCCAGCACGGGAGCCTGGTGGTCCTCGAGCAGCCATATTGGGATGTGGATGAGATTTAATAAGGTGAGTTGTATCGTTGGGCAAGTTGTATATGCTCGTGTAGTACTTGGCGGATTTGTTTCGCAGGAATAAAGTGGAAATGGCGAAGGGAAAGTTAGATGTTATCTTGGTCTTGAGATACAGCTCAACCTGGGAAAGTGACGACCCATCCACTCCTAAGTCGCTTCGATTACTGGGACAATCACGTGGGCCGTATTGAATTGTTCTTTGAAGGGTCAACCTATCATAATTCATCATTGAAGGCTAGATTCACACTCGGAAATAAATCAGTGACTTAGAATCCTTCAATACTACAACAGGATTAATCATGATTCATGAATAATATAGGTTTACTGATATATATTACTTCAAATATAATAAATATATTAGTAAAAGCTATATCAAATAGTACACCTGGGGTATATTGGCATCTGGAACAAACCGAAATAGACTAGCAATATAAGGGGTGTGTTTCTAGGATGTATCCACAAGGGTTAATTTTAGATATTGCGAGGTTCCGAGCTTTGAATTAGAAGACAGCTATATCAAGCTCGACAGAAATATACCAGTAGATCAGACATCTACAAAGGAGATTGTTCATGAGGATTGCAAAACTACGGAAAAACTGTACATAAAGAGCAGTTAAAATGGCTAGTTCTTTGCCCTTTAGGGATATTAACGTTCATGCCTCGACATCGCATTACGCATTCACATCTCCATCGTCCCCCTCAGCGCCAACACTCGTAGTAGATCGTCCAACAGGGGATTTACGACTCAACGATGGAGCACTCTTGGGAGGAAAGCGTGTATCCAGTATTGCTGGCATATTGGGCATGATCAAATTACGGCTGGGTATTTTAAAGAAGCACATTATTCAGGAGTTGGAACTGATTTCTTCCTAGATAAGTACATTATTGTAATCACAAAGGCACAACCAATGGGAAGATTGAAGGGACATATGGTATACAAAGTTATTGCGACCGAATTCCTTCCTCTCCGAGAACGAGCACTTCGAGACCAAGATGAGGATACCTACCTTAACCTCCTCAAAGCTTTCATTAAGTCTGGACCGATGTACTTTTCCTATTCCTCCGACATCACCAATACTTTCCAAAGACAATCGCAACTCGATACATCAGCTCCTCTGTGGAAGCGAGCAGATCCCCGATTTTTCTGGAATAGATTCGTTCAATCAGATTTGATAGATTTTCGAACATCAGGTTCACGGCATCAGCATGGACAACAACCGGGAGTGGATCCATATATCTTGCCAGTTATGTTTGGAATGCTTGAGATTGCTCACACTAAAGTCAAGTCTACCCAATTAACAATTGCATTGATCACCCGAAGATCCAGATACCGAGCTGGAACCAGATACTTTTCTCGGGGAGTAGATGAGGAAGGGCACGTCTCGAACTTCAATGAGACGGAGCAAATCATTATTCTCAATGACAATACTAGTGGGCTTGGTGGGTTTGCAGGAGGTGCTGGAATGCAGAATGGCAAAGTTGGAGGGTCAGGTGGCAAGGAGATGCAAATACTGTCGTATGTACAAACCAGAGGGAGTGTACCGATATACTGGGCTGAAGTCAACACTTTACACTACACGCCAAAACTTCAGATTCGAGGAGTAGAGAGCGCTGTTCCTGCTGCCAGGGCGCATTTTGACGAGCAGATTCGAATTTATGGAGACAACTATTTGGTAAATCTGGTGAACCAGAAAGGACGAGAGCAACGGGTAAAAGAAGCATATGAGCAGATGGTGAAGATTTTGGTTTCAGCGCCAACCGAAACCAGACAGGGCGATCAAGTTACAGATGAGAAGTTCCGAGTGGTTGAGCCCAGTGGACGGAGGCAGGAGATGGATAGACTACACTACGTATACTTCGATTTTCACAACGAAACCAAAGGACTGAAATGGCACCGGGCACAACTACTGCTTGACCAACTCAGCGCTGCTCTGGAAATTCAACAATACTTCCGTGGTGTTGATATGCCAGGTGATATTGATGGTCGACTTGAAGTTCGCAATCACCAAACAAGTGTTGTCCGTACAAACTGTATGGATTGCCTTGACAGAACAAATGTCGTTCAAAGCATGCTTGGTCGTTGGACCCTTAACCGCCAATTAACAGATCTCGGAGTTCTCAGCCGTGGCGAGAACTTCACATCGGCCGACCCACAATTTGAAGTCCTTTTCCGCAAACTTTGGGCTGACAATGCTGATGTCGTCTCAAAATCCTACTCAGGAACCGGAGCTCTCAAAACAGATTTCACACGCACAGGTGTTCGGACTAAAGCTGGTGCTCTTCAAGATCTCCAAAATTCCATTACGCGATACGCGAGAAACAATTTCCTGGATGGACCTAAACAGGATTCCTTCGATCTTTTCCTGGGCTATTACCTCCCCAGTAACACAAATATTGGCTCTCATCTCATTACTGCCGATCGAAGACCATTACTCATTCAGAGCATCCCTTATATCCTCGCCTTCAGTATCTTCTTCGTTCTTGTTGGCCTTTTCACCCCTCGTTTACCTAATGCAGCAGTATTGCCGCTGAGAATCTGGATTATGGTTTGGTTGGTGGTCGGAGCATGGTGTGCTAATTTTGTTTATGGCAACGGAATGCTATATGTATGTTCTCCCTCCTTCCTCCATTTCAGGTCCCGCGCTCTCTTCTCCATCATCCGACATTTCTCCATATGTTCGCGGGATAATTTTTCCTACATGAGTCTTTTTACTAACCAATCACCCCACAGGTCAACTGGCCCAAACTTAATCCTCGCCCTTGGGCAACGGAAGGTTACAACGAAGCAATAAGCAACGTGCGCAAAGACAAATTAGTCGGCGGGCTAGTGACTACTAAGCATGAGCGTGGACTGAGCACAGCACGATACACAAATGCCGAGGAAGGAAAAAAGAGAATCGAGTAGATCTCATTTCTCTAACATGTGCAAATCGCATGCAATTCTATAATTTACCAATTTGAGATTTTCATAAGCTCTACAAATGATTACAATTTCTTTCTTTTGTTGAGGGAGTGAATGGACTTTTGGGGGGTGGGTGGAGGGTGGAGTAGGAACTACAATGGATGGAAATATATTTGATAGCGTAAGCGTGCATGCTTATAGATCCTAGAAGGTCTAGAATTCGAGAATCTGCGATTTGGGAATGTGGAATAGAGGAGTGGATGAGCTGGGAAGGACAAGGGAGGAGAGGAAGGTTCCTCAAGTAAACTGTAACTGTAGTATAGATATTGTACAAGGATTTTTAGTGATGCCATGCCATGGTCCATCAGTACTGTCTGCACCTGGCCTGTTCTTGTTCTCTGTACCTTGTTGGTGGGGAAGGGAGTTATTTGTCGAATACTTTATGAGTAGACTCTTGAAGTCTGTCCGGAAAACATATCTTGACAAGTGTTTTAGAAAAGGGGGGAAATCAAATTGGATGAGTTTGGTTTTCTCGGGTGTGGACCAGTACAGTAACCGAGTTGGAGTGATTCTCTTTGGCTTCCTCGGTTCGGGTTTTATGTAAGGTTCCTTTTGTTGGCAATGAACGATTTACTGAGTGGTGTATTGTTTGTGTGAGGTTTGTTTGTTTGATGGATTAAGCTTGGTTTTGGTGGTATGTGTGGTGATCATTGAATTCAGTGGCATTTTGGGTGTGTTCTAGCTTATCGATCGACTATTGGACTGCATTGATGGATGTATGATGTCATTAGGTGGGTGGGTGGTAGACAGTGTTTTGGATATACTACAATATTCTATTCTCGCTACATGGATAGGCAGAGTGAGGATACATAGAATCTTGCACAGCTATAGTAAGATTTATTGTGTTCGGGAGGAGAATAAGACTGGGGGGTTCAAAACGCTGGCGGTACAGTTGAAATGGCGGCGACGGTGATGTCGGCGGATAATCTATGCGTATGCAGGAACAAGGAAAGAAGAGCTGATGCTGCGGGAAAGAGTGGTGAATGAGCTGGTGTATCGATTAGTAATTAATAATAAATCTATTGGTGTTTACCCAGCTCATGTACAACGGCTTCATATTCTTCTATCGTGGTCAATGGCCCAGAGTCGTACGTTAAAGTTTATCTGGAAATGACCCTGAAACATGTGCACTGTCTGAGTGCTTGCTGATGATGAAAGTGTTATTGTTATTATGCCTGCATATTGATTCACGAATTTCTTTTTGTGATAGAATACTTGGCCATCCAGACCCCAATTGATCCCATTTCCCTCCATACTGGAAAGTGTGCATATTGCAATCATAATTGCGCCTTTTGTGAAAGTCCCCCGGTCTCAGATTATTGTTGATCGATTATCGCCCATACCCATACCCATTTGGCCCAAAACTGTGCTCATTGAAATTTCCCATCCAGCTTCCCTTAATTCTGGATCATTCTGCCTACCATGTTGCCAATTCCACTTCTCGCTCCACTCTGCACAATCTCAAACCTCATGACTCCACAGCTCTCGCTCTCTACATACTGTACCAATGCACTCAATAACTTAAATTCCTTATAGCATTGCCTACCCGGACAATGATAAACTTTCTGTTCATGGGCTGGACTTTGTAAATGCTGATTGAGCGCCTGAAGAGTAGTGCATTGTCGAGAGCATAGGTAACACTCATAGTATTGTCCGTTCCAGGAGCGCTGGGTGGCAATGCTAGGAGTGTTTGAGGAGGGATATTCGAGGAGGCGAGAAGTGATAATGTGGTTGCTGTCCAATCGACGAATTTCGGCATTGATTCTTGCGCGATTCATACCAGAAGGGCAACTGCCAGACTCGAGGTGGATGATAAGGGCGGAGGCAGTTGGGTAGTTAGTGGGACAGAAGGGACATTTGATAGATGTGCCCATGTGGACTTTGGAGTGTTGATGCTGTGAAATTTGTCAGTTTGTTAGCCCTCACGGGAGATCACAAAGTTCTTGTAATATAAAACGTTTCTGGGGAAAACTTACCTGCATCAAGTTATTTTCATTCCCAAACATGCGTTCACATGGTATGCAATAACGATCGCTGTGAGCAAAGACATGATGATTTTCGCGAGCGTCCAAGGACCACAATAGATCGTAGCAACCATCGCATTCAAATTGAAGTTCTTCGTCGCTGGAGGAGTACTCGTCGCTTGAAGATTCAACATAATGCGCAGAACTGTTTTCAATGTGTTGATCATAGCTACGTTCGCTGGCGAAATAGCGGTCGCAAGGGTGGCAGTAAGCCATATTGGGTAGAATTGTAATGTAACAATTAGAAGGAAATAGAGTATGCGAGGTTTGTGATCCTCCAACGGTTGAAGAACCGTCAAAGACTGTGGGATGTTTGGGATAGAAGGGGGTTTAGTCTCAAATGGAATTAAAAGTGCCAAGAGCTAGGCAGCCAGGTTTCCTAGAAAGAAAAGGTAGAAAGAAAAGGAAATTAATTATAGGAAGCTTCGCGATCTGACACGAAAAGAGGGTTCTTTCTACCTCACAAACAAAAGTGAATACACCAAATTCAATTCGAGACTCATTTCACGGAAGTGGCATGCGGGGGATACATGCATCTACCCGCTAGCCAACGGGGAAGCGAGCTAGCCCCGCATTCCTCTTGCTGCCACTAGCAGCCTTTTTAGATCACCGAATTCGGATGGAAACTCATGATGCATCTTTATCCAATTTTCAGCGGTTTAAGCTACTATATTGACAGAGTCCTGACATAGTATACATATAGATTCTAATAACGTCCTTTATATATAGCTTATTTATTCTCATTGATGCTAGGTAATTTGAATGTCCTAAATAAAAACAATTTACAGTACTATAGCTTCTATTTCTTCGTTTGCATTCCAATTCCTTTCAATACACACTGCAAGGCTATGACCCTTGCAGTAGTGCCGGGTTTAAACTAAAAAGGTTAATAAAACCTGCAAGGAAGTCCCCCCTTGGACTTCGTCGGCTAGGATACTGCAAGGAATCTCGGGTGTCAATGGAATCGCTGTAAGCTTAAGAAACGCCATCTAATTTCAGTTATAGTCCAGTTACTATATTCACTGATACACATATTCTTTGGAAGGGTTAATATTCTTTTTACACTCAGTTAGTGACGTCCTGTCTTGCACCGAAATCTGGGAATAGCCTAGGGTTAACCTTGTTGCACCCCATCCATGAACTAGCTCTGCAGCACTCATACACCTGCTACCCAGACAAAATCAATAAACTATCAATGGCCATGTATCCTCAGCAGTATGTATTACTTGAAAAAGTTTCGCGGAAGAGAGGTGCCGACACTGTATATGGCACCCAAGATCACTGCAGAAAAGGAACTTTTCATATCAAGATACAAACACAGCAAAGCTTCAGTACTACTGGAACTTATTGTAAAGACCCTAATCAGGTCTAGATATATAGACTCACAGTAGATTGGCGTAGTACGACCCTCGCTTATGGGATTCCGGTAGACTACTATCTATTGGTTGGGTAAAACATCAGTATACACTTCTCCTCTGCTCTAAGAACAGCTTTTCTCTTCAATGTTTTCTTTTTATTGGTCATATTGCCTGATGGCTATATACTGTATGAGTAGCTGCAGATTAAGGGACATCGTATTCGTGTCGCAGTCAACGACCCATGGGGTAGTATTGAGTTTGTATGGTCGGAAACAAGATCAGTATGAAGTACTCGAGTATCGAGCACTTACTTTTGCCACCAATCCTGTAGGGACTTGAGAGTTCCCCCTGTCCTCGATCTTCATCTGATCATCCAGGCGCGCAACAAAAACATCCTATTGAAATGTCTTTCCGAAGTAAGCATCGCCATACATCGCCTGTTTCTCAGAGACAAAGGATTATATGATCGTTGAATACGCCGAACTCGGACGAGGATAAAACGCTGAACTTTCGAAGTCATTCATGCTACTAATCTACTTGATTTTGCTATACAAATATTAATATCATATAGTTAGGAAAGTATAAGGTAAACATCATGAGACTACCTTCAGGTGCTGAACTTCGAAATGCATGCCAATTTACTTTCCGAACGATGCGGACACCAATCTGAGAGTGCCCCAAGGTATTGTCACTGTTGGAGGAGTACTGGTGTGACTTCACAAGAACGAGTCTACGCTTTGTATACTCGATGTCCTTCGCCAAACAATTGAGAAGCGAAGTGTAGCTCTAGAGTATTTTCCAACTCACTGTTTGCCGTTATCCCAAACTCATTCACAACATTTAACTCTATTCACGAAAGAAATAGTACCAGATTTTCGCACTTGAACAATCAACAAAGATCCGCACAAGAGTGAAAACCAAGTGGGAGGAGTCAACACAACAGATTGCACCCCCTTATACAATAATGTTTTGTCCCGAAGCATATCCAGAGTTCTGCTGGGTATGTGTGCGAACTCGTAGTAAATGTAAAAGAATGGAAGAACCGTACTTCTCGTGCCCCACGAATCTGCTGCTAACATCACATCAAGGAATTAGAAGCTTACTCAACAAGTCTCGAGCGTCGCATCCAGATATGGGAAATGACAACTGGAAAATTACATGTATTTTTTATTGTTGCCTTTTGCTTTTTGCGACTGGCTCCGGTGGTCTTCCCATTTATGATGGAATTTGATGAGACCATTTAGTTTTTTGAATTGGTTTGACGGCGATTCATCGAATCATTTGTCGAAATTAGAAATTTGTTGTGGGAAGAAACCAACGAAGGTCTTGACTATCTGTGAGATCTTAGCTAATACTTCTTTTGAAAACTCGAGTTGAACGGCCAGACCAATAGTTTAATTGACAGTAGACCTTCAATCGAGAATATATATTGATCAGCACACAAGTGATTCGAAGATGAGCAAGATGAAGAAATTCAAGTAGATAGAACAACACCAGCGTAATTTCGCCGATTAGGGGGTGCGTAGCTCTGCGTTACACAAAGAGGTATGATTCAAAGATTGTGGCAACAATCTTCAGAAAACTACCCCTACTTCAAACTTCAATTTTAAAGCAAAAATGCTCCTGCTCACAATTCTTCTAGAGCTTTGTTCCGCCAATTTAGCTTGGTAGAGACTTCACGATTGACAAAACTCTCAAGCCTCACCAAACCATTCTTAGCTGAACCAATTGAGTTTCCTCGGCAACGACACCCATATTCAAGGAGGGTTCTTGGAGATCGT